CAAACTCAGGGAGGCAGTGAAGGACAGGAAGGCCTGGCGCGATATGGCTCATGGGGTCACGGAGAGTCGGACACGACTTAACGACTAAACAACATCTCCTCCAATGGGTGACTCTGGGCGGCTTTAAGTATAATTTAACTTGGTTATATGGTCCCAGATTTACTTTTCTAATATTTTACTTCACAGGTGGTTAGGGTTCCTCTTCCTGCATATACATTTACATTTATTTATTTACGATCATAGACCAAAAATGTATATGCAGGGAGTCCTCTATGCTCAGGAGAGCATCTGACCATCCTCTCTTCCCCAACAATCAATTTTAGCCCAGCAAGAATTTCATCATGTTGTTCTTCTGCCCATTTTTCCAGTTTTACAGCAAGTGAACTCTCTCCCTCTCTCTCTCTCTCGGATAGGTCAGAGCATGGGTGTATATGGCTGAGGGGAGAACAGGTAGGAGAAAGGTCCTTACTTGCTTTCTGGTATCAGCTCTCTTGTGCTTCAGGCACAATTCTCTGGCTCTCATATGCTGAAGGGTTTCTTTTGCTAGCAGATACTTTAAGTTCTCTAATCTTGGAGAAGCTGAAGCCCAGGCAGCTTGGCCAAATCGCTTTTGATCTTGCTCCATCTGTTTGTGCATCGCTGGTAAACAAGTAAAGAAACAAACCAAAGCACAGGTAAATCTTGGGGTTGCTAAGAAGGGTCTTGCACTGCCTTCTCCAGAAAAAGGAAAGAATATTTCAGGTATATAAAACAGAAAAGAATATAGCCCGATGACAACTTTCAATTTGAGTTTGTTTTAACATTTTGAACTTTGTTATGAATGGAGCTAGAAGTTGCTGGGGAACGCTCTTGTTATAAGTTGCTAAGGGATGGAGCATCTCTTGATTTTAATCTGTTTAGGAGAAAGTAGCAAACACATTCAAAAATCACTGATTTTCCATATTTGTGTTCTTGGCTTTTCCATCTCTACCTACATCAGCTTTCTCCAAACAGGTGACCTCCAGATGTGTGGGCCCTTAACTCCAACCCACAGAGCCATTGTATGAGGATTCTGGGAGGGTGTTTCCAAGACATCCAGAGAACTCTTGGCCCTGGAAGTCCAATTTACATAAACTTCTGGAAAAAAAGTAAAAACATGACATACAAGCTCAGGCGTCCAAATTTTGGGCTTGCACTTTTTTCTTTGACCACTAGGGGGTCCCTAACAAATCAAGTCAGTCACAAAATGTAACATGACATAAGTCCAACATGAGCTGACCCATTGCATAGCGTGGTTTTTATTTATTGATATGCTGTGCCTCCAAATTAAAAATACATCAAAAAGTAATATATTCGTGAAGCCCTTTGAACAGTTAAAATCCACTACTAAATGCTCAGAATACTGAACCTCCAATATGCAAGTTTTTCAATTGGGTCATCCACACCTTAAACCCTTTTTTTTTTGTAGTAGTACAGACTACGTAGAAGTAACAAAATGATATTTTGCCCTTCCCCATTTCTAACAGGGGGCAAAATCTTCCCAAGTATACCTGACAAACTAGACTTGCTAACTAAAGCATGTCTTTAACAACGGTGTCCCTGAGTCAGACATCTCCTGTGTAAATACTCTAAAATAAGAGTGCTGCATTTGTCTGCCTGGCAGGCCACAAATTTTTCAGGGCACAAGATACACTTGATTTAAATTGAATTCAAATATTTAAATACTGGTTAATATGATTGCTCCCCTTCTGTTTTATTTATTTAAATATAAATATAAATATAGCCACATAGTTCACCAAAGTGACTCTAGGCAGTGTACCAGGTTTAAAACCAAAACAAAGCTCAATTTATAGAATACAAAATACAGGATAAAACATCTTAGGCTAAAGGACAAACAACTGAAAATGTTTAAGAAGGACTAGTTAATAATTTGGAAATACAGGAAGATAGAAACTAACAGTGATTACATTCAAGGAAGGACGCAAGCTGGCTCACAATGGCTGTGATCATAATGAAAAAGTGTTTTAGAAAAGCGTTAAAATTTGGAGCTTCTGTTTGGACTCTCGCATCTTGTTGGCTTTACAGGGAATGTGATACCAGCTTATATCTTTATATTTCTCACATGAAAGATTATAAGGCAGAAGCAGATTCTGAAAGGCTTTACATAGGGACCACACACTGCCTTGGACTTCAGGTTGTGTCTAATGTCCTGCCCTGGCCCACTACTGCCACCGTGGCAACGGCTTCAGATTTTCTCAATGAAAGTGTGTTTTGCTTGTGTCTCGCTCACCTGCAAGTGCAGTCACAGTTTCCTTGAAGTAGCCAACCGTGATGTTTTGAATGGAGCACACAGCTTCCTCAGCCTGATCTGTCCACTCCTTGGCCTCCTTCTGCAAAGCTTCTATCCTTTTGGGACCGAGCCGGTCAGCTTGCAAGGATTTCTGCAAAGATAGCCATTTTAACATCGCCGTTCAAACTAGTGCTCATCATTAACCCACAAAGACTAAGAGACTGCACTGAGGAGAACTGGATTCAACGATTAATGCAGTTCTGCTCCTCACTGTGTCTTCTGCAAAGGGGAAACCGGTTTCAAGCTTGAGAGATCTACTCAGATTCTTATGGTCCATAAATTGCAGCTGAGTAGTTTATCCAATGAAGCAGTGGTCATACTGTTCGAAGCGAATATGGGTAGCCCATACATTGGTCTTCAAAAAACAATGTCTAGCTTTCTCATACACAAATGAGTTTGTCCCCATGAGATTTCTAACTCCATCAGCAGAGGGCGAGTTAGCATATGGTGGGAATTCCAGGAATTAATCTCTGGGGGAACTGCTGTTCAGCAAAACATGGATGGCCACAGACTGCCTATCCCAGACTAAACTTTAATTTGGTGCAGAGGTGTCTTAAGCCCCCGTTCTTTCCCTCCACCTTTCATTTTTAACCTTCTTGCCTGATGAAGAAACTCAGAAACTCAAAAGCAGGACAGCCACATGAAAAAGTGATTTCAAAGTTCCTGCACTCTGACCCGTTGTACAAAAGAGGGAAGGTATAGCGGGATATTTTATATGAAAAGCTACAGCTGCTGAAACAGCCTTAAGATTTGGAATTTTGGAAGAGTAGAAAGAGAAACCTACCAGAATCTCAAGTTTGTATAACGTGGCCAGTTCTCGCATGTCTCGGAATGGTAACAACAAATACTGATAGAATTCAGTTGCTACAGTAACCAGCTCCCAATAAACTTCATCCTCTTCCTTGTACAGCTCCATTAAATCTACCAGCTTATCAGCATCTTTGTGCTTGTGGAGAACCTACCAAGATAATAAAGTTTGAGAATTAACAAGCAGTTTTACTCTTCGCAAGAGAGGCTGGAGAGTGACAGGGGATGGGTTTTTAAAAAAATTATTTCTGATTGCATCAATTGCTCTATAGCAGCTTTTTCCAACTTGGTGCTTTCCAAATGAGTTGGACTACAACAACCATCATTCATCAGCTGGCACAGTTACTGCCCATGGCAGATACTGTATTGAATACAAGTTTTAGCCCCCCCGGTAGAGTTGATTTCCTGGTCTGGTCTACCAAGTGGGTAGCACAAGATTTAAATTTTGGTTTTTATAGAAGTGAAAACTGCAGTGGTATCACTCTGAATGACAACTCTTAACATTCTCAGGACAAAAGTATCACACAGTCAGACACGAGAATCCGTGACCACAGAATGGTTTACATCCAGCAAGTACGAAGGGCTACTGATGAACTCATCACAATTCTGATTTTTTTTTTCCCTGTCACAATGCAACACTCATCCAGTGATGGGCTGACACAGATGGACAGAAGAGGCTTTCGACCAAAGAAGCTTAAGTTCTACAAATAGGGACATTTCTCAGAAAAGTGAAAGCTCCCCGCAGATGGGGGACATAGCTCCACAGAGTAGGCCCAGCAACTGTTTCTCATGCTCAGTTGGAATTGAGGTCGTGAATAAGGAACCTGAGAAGTTTATTTCCCATGCCGCTCATAGTATCCCTGTTGTTCTCAGCAGCATTCCAGAGGCTGTCCCATTTCCAACTAAACCTCAGCGTTCGGCTTTTCTGTTTTATTTCTTTTATTTGTTAGAGTTATATTCCTCTGTGTGTGCGTGTGTGCTTATTTTAAGGGCTCCGTAGAAAACTAGCCCATAAAAAAGATGACAACGTATTCTGAAATGTTCTTCCTGCCATACCAACTTTTCACAGGCATGGAAAATCTAATGGGGAGAAGAGATTACAGAAGCTGAAATAAAACTATGCACAAAGTAAGGATGGTTTTCTCGCTCGCTCGGCCCGCCCCCAAGAATATAGCCTCATGTGACGGAAACTGGCAACAGAATCTGGACAGTAAAAGAAAGAATCTTTTGACACACGCCAAGACGGGATGCTTGCCAGCAAGGAACATTAAGAGAAGGGAGAGTCCATTGAGAGAAAAGATACTGTTCATGGTTTATCAAGTTCCATGCTCAAGAGCAGCCTGTCACCAGGCACCAAGTTGCAGGTGGGCTTGGGCATGTAAGTCAAAATAACAGGTGAAAGCAGTTCAGGTTAGAAGGCAACAAGATTCCTTGGACCTCACATCTTCTGCAAAAATAATGCGGCTCTTCTAAGGAGTTCAGATAGGGGCTCCATGAACACCCCACACCCTCCAAAGCCCTTTTTGCCTTCAGATCCAAAGCACTGCCCAGCCCTATTTTTTTCCCACATGTCATATTAAACTCTGGTTTGTTTGAATTATGACTTGCTGAACACGTCATAGTGCACCCATGTAGCACCAAGCCATCAACTGTATTTTTCAAACCACAATGACCAGCTCTGTACAACAAACTAAATAAGCCATTTAGATGAGTGGGTGGCAGCTGTGGGCAGGAGGGCCTTTGGATAGGTTCATTTTCACCAGTTCCACCCTTTTTTCAACCAGGAGACCTTTCGGAGAGTTACTCACACCCTGCTCACCTCGTGACTGGACTACTACAATGCGCTTTACGTGGGGCTGCCCATGAAGATCATCCAGAAGCTACAGCTGGTTCAAAATGAGGCAGTGTGAGCAGTAAAAGGCACTCTTCATTATGCCCATGTGTCATTGCTGCTATGCGAGCTGCATTGGCTGACAGTTGGCTTTGTGTGCAATTCAAGGTGCTGGTCATCACCTAGTAAGCCCTTCATGGCACAGGGCCTGGTTACCTGCAGGGCCACCTGTCTCCAATCATTGCCATCCATAGGTTCAGGCAAAGTGGGCACGCTCCAGGTTCCCTCAATTAAATCTTGTCATCTTTTGGGCTTAGCACATTCGTGGATCCGTGTCATGTTTTTGACTGTTACAGTTATTCTCTTGTCCAGGCTGTTACATTGGTTACATTTTTAACTGTTTTAATTGTATATTTGATATGTTGTGAGCCATCCAGAGTCTTTTGGAGTGGAGGACCATAATAATAACAACAAAAACAACAGTTTATATCCTGAGACAATACCTTTAACATCATCAAACAACATCTGCCTATCACAGGTCCTTGGGAAGGACTCAATAGGTGGATAAAAATGCCAGATCCAGTCTAAACATCTAGCTGATTGTGCGACCAA